TCCCCCCTCCCTGCTCCCTGCTCCGGTCCTGCCCCTCCTCCCTGCTCCCTGCTCCGGTCCTGCCCCTCCTCCCTGCTCTGGCCACTTCGGGCAGAGCTGCTGGACAACCACTGCCCGGAGCAGAATTCGCCTGGGACCCTGGCTTAGGCGCCCTCTCCCCGCAGGCGTTCACAGCCCTCGATGCCCTGGCTGACGGGGGTGTGAAGATGGGGCTTCCCAGGCGCCTGGCAGTCCGCCTCGGGGCTCAGGCTCTGCTGGTCAGTATCGTCCCTGACCCTCTGGTGGGGCCACTCCTTACTGGGCATGAGGCTAGTGCCCTGGAACGGAGGGGCAGGTCGTCAGCGGGTGCCTTGGTGGCGGGGCTGGGGGCCGTGTCGTGCGGATGTGGGTGGGCGCCCCACAGCCGACATCCTCTCTCGTCTCCCCCACGCAGGGTGCTGCCAAGATGCTGCTGGACTCGGAGCAGCACCCAGGGCAGCTCAAGGACAACGTCTGCTCCCCCGGAGGCGCCACCATCCACGCCCTGCACGTGCTGGAGAGCGGGGGCTTCCGCTCCCTGCTCATCAATGCGGTGGAGGCCTCCTGCATCCGCACCCGGTGGGCCCCGCCGCCTGCCCCCCACTCCCAGCCCACCCCGCACCCACAGCCTGCTGATCTGGGAAGCTCTTGGCCATGGGCTGCTGGCTCAGCCGCTAACATTCGAGTCTGCTCAGCCCCTCACTCAGCAGATGTGTATCGAGCTCTGGCCTGGTGGTGGGCACGGCACAGGGAGCCCTGAGGTTCTCTGGGGTGCGGTTTACCGTGCCTTCCCCGTTGTCCTGCTGGGGAGCCTCTGTGGGCTGGTGATAACCCTCCTCCGGGCCTGGCTGGGGAGATTAGCAGGTTAGACCAGCGGGACCTGGCGCCAGCACCGGCTTGACCGCTGACAGGAAGCCAGAGCGGCACGGAGTCCGGAGTCCGGAGTCTAGGCTCGGCATCACTGTCCCTGGGCTGTGGGCCTTGCTCCCTCCTCCCTCGTGGACACCTGGGCTCGGAGGAGGCGGGTCCCGGTACTCAACCCCCCTCTCTGCCCCTCCAGGGAGCTGCAGTCCATGGCCGACCAGGAGAAGGTCTCGCCCGCTGCCATTAAGAAGACCGTCCTGGACAGGGTGAAGCTGGACTCTCCTCCGGGGGCCGCGCCGGCCGCTTCGGGCCACTCCAAGCTGCTCCCCCGCAGTGTGGCCCCGGCGGGCAAGAAGGACTGAGGGTCCCGCCTGTGCACCGGGCTGCCCTCTGCCTTCCCTCTCCTGGGCTTGGAGCTCCTTCGCTGGGCGTCTCTAGGCCCAGGCCACATAGGGTGTCCTGTCCGCATGGTGGCCTGCCCATGGCTCTGGTCAACTTGGGCCAAGCAGGGTCATAGCCAGGGGGGATACATCACTTCCCAGTGGGAGCCTCCCTGAGCGCTTCCTGGCCCAGAAGTGGGGTGGACTCTGAGTGCAACCTCCTCCTTCCTCTGCTCCCAGCTCAGAAGGGGTTCAGCTCCCAGGGTCAGCTGTCCTGGGGCTTGGCCCCTTCCTAAGCACAGAGGTCAAGGTTCCCCGCCCTGAAGGCCCAGCCATGGAGAGAGCCCCCTCCCATGCCTGCCACTTCCCCAACCTCCTCGCCCACGGACACCTCCCTCGGTGTTGGGGGGACCAGCATCCTGACCTCAGAGGAGGGACCTCGGTTCTTGGCCGGCTGCCAGCTGCCCCTTGCTCCCACTTGACACCTGAGAAAAGGGCTCCTCGGGCAGGTGGCCGTCCAGGTCCCCGGAGCACTCAGGCCACTGTCTCCCCCTCCTGGCCTTTTAGGTTCAATAAACTGGTTTCCAGCCCTAACTTCTAACTTTGTCACCACGTGTGGAGGGTTGTCCCAGCTGCCCAGGGCGTCATGGCAACCGGGTGTGATGTCAGAGGCTGAGCCAGTAGCCTATGGCCTAGAGCCCTTGCTCCCCAGGTAGCCCGGCTGTGGGTGGGGGGAGGGGAGGCTCCCAGGGGGCAGAGGAAGGGTCAGCGCCTCGGGCCGCCATCACTAGAAGTGTGATGGAAGTTGGTACCATTGGCTGGGCGTGGTGGGGGGGGCGGCGGGCGGAGCGGGCCCCAGCTTCTGCATCCTCCATGCCTCCTGACTTAACGGGGGCACGTGTCTCCCCAATTTACCCAGGCAAGAGCAGGTGGGGCAGGTGGCCCTTAGGGAGCTAGCTGCATTAGGGTTTCTCCAGAAAAGCAGGAAAAATAGATGTTAGAACATATACAGAGGTGGTTATAAGGAAGTGGCTAGCAAGTCCACCCTGCAGGGTGGCCAGCAGGCTGGATACCAGACAGCTGACGGTCCAGTTCACAGGCCCTCAGGCAGGGAGAGCCCATGTTGCTGGTGAGTCTGAAGGCAGAATTCTCCAGGGCCGGTCAGTCTCTTTGGGCTTCTATTGCTTGGAGGAGGCCCACCCACATTACAGAGGGTGAGCTGTCCAAGTCTAGAGTTCATGTTAATCTCGTGCAAAAACACCCTCACAGAAACAGGCAGTATATTGGACCAGATATTTGGGCATCCCGGGTCCCAGTCAAGTTGACACATGAAATTAACTCCCAGGGGAGGCTCCCAAGCTGCTGAGGGTCAGAACCCTTATGGGATCAGGAGGGCTCACCCTTTGATTACAATAACAAACAGTTACAGAGCATAGAGACAAGAGGAGGCCTGTGGCCTCAGAGGCTGACACGCCCACACACACACCCAGCTGAGCGCTCTGTAGGTGGTGCGGAGAGGCGCTGTCCCCGGGGGGTGATTAGGGGCGCTGCCAATCACAGAGCCGCATGCCTGTCCTCTCCAGTTCTCTCCTGCCCCTGGGCCCACTTAGAACCAAGGCCCAGCGCACGTGGGTGGGCGGACGAGGCACTTAGGGGACAAGGGGAAAGAGGAGAAACCAGAAAAACGGAAGAAAATGCACAACAGAAAACGCAAGGAGCATGACTGCGCCCGCTCCCAGTCTGCCAGGGTGGCCTCGAGAGGCCTGTGCGGGCTGGCGCGCGTGTGGGAGTGGG